CTTTTGGATGGCCTCTGCTGTTCTCTGATTTCAAGCTGTCTGAGGTATGTCTTGGCCATGAGGAAGCTGTCAGAGAGGGAGGAGAAGGCTGGAAAGTGTCTTTCTTTCCCCAGGCGGAGCAACCAGAGGCTGGGGAATGAAAGCTACTCAGCTGAGCAAGGTGGGCTTCAGGTCCCTCGCTTGCTGTTGTGGTGAACGTGCCTGTCAGGGCTGCTGCACCCCCAGCCCCTCGCCTGCCCGCCTCTGCCTCCATTAATTTCAAGAAGCTGTCAGGATGTTCTTGCAGCAAAATGTTCCCGAGCCTCCTGCTCCCGCGCGCTCTCTGCCTCTCGGTGTCCTCCTGTCACATCCCTCGCATTAACATGATGTCTTCCCGGGGCGATGTTACGCTCCAGCCCTTCTCCCCATCCATCTCCTCTGCTCTCCATGCCTTCCAAGGAGGTAGCTCTCAGTGTGGCTGCAGGTGAGAGATGAGATTGTGGGGGAGCAATCTGTGCTTTGCCCTCCAGACGATTTATGACAGCTCAGGATGCAGCTGTAGTTACACTTGCTTCCATAGCCCTAGAGAGGAGCGAGCGGCTCACAGTGGCTAGGGAAGCTGCGGAGCCCGGGGAAGGGCAGCCCCCACCAGCCGTGGTGGTGACAGTCACCAGAGCAGCCAGCCACCTGAGAGAAGGTGGCTCCCCACAAGGGAGCGAGCCCAGCCCTGCGCCCCATCCTTGCAGGCTGCGGGGCGACCCAGAAGCGGGGAAGCTGCTCTTCCTTCTGCCGCAAAATCCCAGCGAGGGGTCTGTGAGCCCTCACCCACCTCCCGGTGTCACTACACAGTCCCTGCAGCCTTCTGCCGTGCTCCTTTTCTCCTTGCATGGGGAGGCCTGGTAACGTACTGGCTCTGGAGCGAGAGCAGGCAGTGGCTGCAGTTTGGCCGGAGCCCTCCATCCCACCCCACCTGACCATAGCTGGTGCCAGGGTCCCCACACCACACAGCCTGCGCCTCTGAGCTCCTGCCCTTGGTCCCCAAAGCCTTCATGGTGTGGTGGACCTGCTGAGCACTGTTGCCCAGCAAAGCTGGGGAGGTCAGACACCTCCTCCTCTTCTGGGATTCAGTCAGGTTGGGTGTGCAAGGGGGTGCAAGGTCCTGCCTGTGTCTGTGCAGGGCACCTGCGGCTTTGGTCTGTGGAAGTTCTGCTCCTCACCTGCTGTTTCAGGGCCAGATAAATGTCCGTTTCTCCCTACGGCTCATGGCGAAGAAGGAAACCAGCAATTTACTGGGCTGCTCACCTCATTCAGAAAAGCCACCTGAGGCTCAAGTGTGTGGTAACTGTCCACTTTGCTGCAGGGCTGAGCTGGTCTAGGAGTCTGGAGGGTTTGCTCTCTCGGTACCGTGACCCAAGCGGAGTTGCTTTGCAAAGCCAGCATTTTATCATGCGGCCCTCTATGGATCCCCACTGAGTTTTCTTTCTTGTTCTTGACTTTTTTTTTTAAAAAAACATTTGAAAAAGGCCACTATAAGGAAATCTGACAGCTGTGGGCTACTTACTAGGCTGCATAGAGCTCTCTCTGCTTAACAAGATGTGCACACAGTGAGTCATGATTCCGTGAGTCCACAGCTCCGAGTATTCATCACACAGATGAGGGGCTTGCGTGAAATCAGGCTTTCCACGCACACAGCACACAGCCAGGGAGATCACCTGCTGTGCACGCGTCCTCATTAAATGAGCATTTCTCCTCTGCTCTGGAATGCATGCACACCACTCATGGAGACAGGAGAGCCACCTCATTAAAAAAAAAAGGAAGAAAGGAAGATAGGAAAAGAAAGTTGCTGTATGAAAGCAAACTCAGATGGTGTGCATGCATAACAGTCCTTGCATGAAGCCGTAGAATAGCTTTGTCACGATACCTAAGCTGGCCCTGGGAAACAGGGTCTGTGTCTTTTTTCCAAATCTTTGTAGACAAGCAACACTGAGTAATTTGGGTCTCCTAGAATGGAAAAAAAAACCATAAGCATGATAATTATGAATAGGATTTTGAAAAGCAACCCACATTCAGGAAGCCCTGTCTGCTTTTGAAAATCCCACCTTCTGTTTTGTAGTAGATGAGGAAGAAAGAGATCCGAGCTGTGAATCAGCTGTAGGTTTAACTCAGCAAATTGAACAAGCTTTGCAAAGTATCAGGGACCCAGACAACATCTGGTTCAAAAGCCAAATTCAGTCAACCTCTCCAAAGAAAATGCAACAAAATCATCGTGATGAAGTCTTAGGTGAGCACCAACATTTACACGAGAGACATATCATTTAAAATCCTACATCCTTCAGGCTGGATTAGTGGAGATTGAAGGGGTCTAGAGAAAGGAAAGGAGGCTTGCCGGCATTAGCGCAGGTTGTGGGTAGAACAAGAACTGGCAAAAATAAAGCAGATTTAGCTTAGGAAGGAGAATTAGAGGTGATTTTTCTTGCATATTCCTGCACTGATGGATATAGCAGAGGTTGTCCAAACTCTTTCCTCTATCCCGTATGCCCTCATTTGAAAGATGGGGTTTGGGACCAAGCCAAAGACAAGGGCCAGCACAGGGAATGGGATTTCTGCAGTCAGAGTGCAGAAGCAGTTATGACTTGAGAGTTAAGTTGTAGGAGGACTGGATAATTTTGTGGTCATCGATGATATCAGTAGGAGTGCAAGCTGCAGCGATGGCAATTAATCAACCCTGCTGTTCTCTGTTGTGCAATGGTGGTTTGAAGGGGGCTGCTGGCAGTGGCAGCGTCCCCAGGATGGGGATCACAGCATCCCCAGGGTGCAGGGCTGGACTGCTTGTTCTCTGAAGCGCTGTGGAATCAAAGACACTGGGTGTGTTTAATGCCAAGGGCTACCGGCTGAGCCACATAGGGATTTGAAGCCTGAGACTGTTTTTCCAGGCTCTGTGATTGGCAGTCCTGCTTTTCTCCTCCTTTCCATCCCCAGCCAAGACCGGTTGCACACAAAATGCACCAGGGACTGATCTGAACGTTGAGAACGGTCAGGGAGCGAGGGGAGGTGGTAGCTGCTGGGCCGCGTGTGGGTACGGGGCTGTGGGAAGGGGGGTTCCCTCTGACGCGCAGATGTCAGAGCTGCGGGTTGCAGGGTTCCCCCATGCCCACACAGCCGGCAGTCGCCTGCCTGGCAGGGGATGTTGCGGGCCGGGGGGGGCGCAGACTGTGTGTGTGTGTGGGCATGGTGGGTAGCAGGGTGAGGGACGCCTGCTTCTCTGAGAGCCATCAGCCCTCGCTGCCCGCACGCTGAGCTGTGAGATGCTGTGCTGGCGGCCTCGGAGCCCCTCACCAGTTTGCCGGGGGATCAGAGCTATTTTTGTCTAACTTCATTTTGCAATGTGGCCTGCCATCGTGCCTTTGGGTTACACAGCAGATCGGCCAGTGTCACTTGCAGTAGTGGGGCTTTAGCCTTTCCGAAGGGCCATGTTGAGCTTGTTCAATGGGTGAGAAAACTTTGACTCTCTAATGTCCCCATTCAACTCTTGACTTTCCTCCACTGTTGCTTCTCTGTTCCCTGCTCCCCTTTATGACACTTACTATTTTTCCATCCACAGCAAAACAGTTCACATCAAGGTAATTGATGATGAGGAGTATGAAAAAAACAAGAATTTCTTCATTGAGCTGATGATCCCCCGCATGGTGGATATGAGTTTACAGAAAGGTGTAGTACTGGCCCTCCAGACTAACATTAACGTTCTTCTCTCCTCTTCTCCTCCGTCTACTTCCTCCGCTTGTCCTCCTCTTCCTCTGATGTCTGACTGTCTGTCTCCAACCGCTCTGCCCTGAACGCTGCTATGCGCACACACCGTGTCCCATGGTACCCATGGCAGGGAGCGAGGCTGGGGCTGGGGACAGGCAAAGTGGCGAGGCGGGAAGAGGGACAAGGGTGGAGAGCAGTCCCGCTTGTCCGCGTTTCCCTGGCAGCTCAGAGAGGGACCTTCAGCCATCCCTGCTGGAGGGTCCCAGCAAATTTTGTAGCATCAGCGGGAAGATGCCAAGTAGAAACACATCCAGTATCTCAGGAGATCATCATCCAGCCCTGGTCCTACAGAGTCTACCGGTCAGACCTATGTCAGAAAAAGACAGGAATCGAGGCCTGGCAGAGAAGCAGCTCCTGTAATTTCTGAGAAGGACTCGGCGAAGGCTGCGCAGCCCCTGGTCCGGTTGCTGTGGAGCGGCTCTGGGAGCAGGAGGTGAGGACAGGGAGGGGCTGTGAAGCCCACTTTGGCTCGCCTGCGGGCTCACAGCAGCTGTGTGCGTTGCGGGGGTGCAGGGGTGAGCTGGGTGAGCTGGCCGCAGGGAAAGGGGGCAAGCCCCACTCCAGCTCCTGGGGCATTTCCATTCGAGCCTCAGAGGTGTTTTAGTCCCATTGTGTCCCCGGAGAGGTCCCAGCAAAGCTGTCTGCTCCCAGGGAGAGCTGCCTCCTCGCTCGGGGAACAGGTCAGGGGGAAGAGGCAGATGCTATTCAGGAGAAAAAGCAGTAAGATGTGCTTTTAAAAACGGAAATTAGAAACATCAGCCTCTGTGCAGCTGACAGAGCTGTAGCCCGCTGGCAGCGTCCCACCTCACCCCTGCTGGGGAACGTGTCTGAGTGCCCATCTCTCTGCCTTCTCCTCAGGCGCCCAGCCCAGAGTCCCTGCAGATTTATTACTAATTGTGAGGGTAGCAGAAGCAATTGATCTTCCAGCTAAAACGCGGTGGGTACCCCAGGGTGGTCCCTGGTGATTTCCAGGCAGCCAATACCCTTTCCATTACCATGTGACACTGAAAAAATGCGCTGCAGGAGTCGCCTCCCGCTAACCATCAGCAAGGTCCTCCTCCCTCTCTCCCTGCCTCCTTACCCCCTCGCTAGCCCCCTGTCCCCCTAACACCCTCCCGCTCCCCAAGGACGACGGACGCCCCATGTCCATCCGCCCCGCTGGGGAAGGGGCTGCGTGCCAGGAGCCCGCGCCGCTTCTCTTGTTGTCCCTACAGGAAGACCGTAAGGGTTAAGATAGTAGATGAGGAGGAATACGAAAGGCAGGAGAATTTCTTCATTGCCCTTGGTGAACCGAAATGGATGGAACGAGGAATATCAGGTGTGAGATCCTTTATGAAAAAAATGAAAAAAGAAAAAAATCAGAATAAAACCTCCAAACCCTAAATCCAGAAAATATAACCCTCTTTCTCCTCCTTCACATCCCTCCTTTTTTTCTCCTCCTGTGGATGGATCGACTTTTATTCTCTGCCCTCCTGTATTCTCGCTCTCACCCTGTTTCGGTGTCATCTCTGCCCTGTAGAGCCCAGCTTACTTCTGATCCTTCTTTTGTGCAATGCTTGAGCCTCGGAAGTTGTATTATTTTGACTGAGTTTCCTTGTCTCGATCTGTTTTTGTTCTGAGCACAGTTTGCTGTTCTCCCCTCTCCTGCTCCTTTGCCAGGACCTTGGGGAATGCAAAAGGCAAGAGAAGGGTGTAATGCATGGCTGCCCTTTCGGCTCCTCCCGAATGCCCCCTGTCCTTCCCTCTGTTGTTGCCTGCCAGTGGCATTGCCATGGTGCTCTTGGGTACCTGTGAAACACGGCGAAAAGCCCATGGGAGAAGAGGGAAGGTGTGAGCTATCTCATTTTGCTTTAATTTTAAAAAATGGTTTTCCATGTATTTCAACTGAAAATGCCCTTAATGTGTTAGAAACAATCACAGCCTGTTGTATAGAGGGTGTGCAGCTCTGCTGAGGCCCTACTTCATTGGCAGTGAGACCCAGGATCTCCCAGCAGAGCAGGATTATAGCGAGAATAAACCCTGAGTTACGGTTGTGCCTTGCCTACATGTATCTTTGTCCTTGTCCTATGTGTGTTTGACTCCTTTCTCACTGAGTGAGTCTTGCCATTGACTTCACCAGCTTTGGGGTGGCCTGGGAGGGCCAAGCTTTAAACACAAGCACTTTACAAAAGGGAATTCAAATCACCTTCTGTGTGTCTGATAACGGAGTAGGGACAGACGTGTGTGCCCACGGGTTTATTTCTGCTCCATGTGCTGCCGCAGGTGATGGGAACACCTGGCAGTTGCCTGTGCATTGCACAGCTTTCCCTTGCTGTCTCTTATCTGGCCAGCACAGCAGCTGCCCTCTGGGCAGTCCCAGCTCCCATGCACAGCTCTGCAGAACGTTTGGGACAGACACAGCTTGCATTAGCATGACAGTGTCATATAGCATCCGTAGATTTTTAAAATGTAAACCAAAAGAGGATTTATGGTTTAATGCTGTTAGACCATCTCCTGCAGCCTGCAGGCAGTGAGGGATGTTAGGTTTCACCATGTGTCAAGCACAGGCCCTCAGGTTTCACCAAAGTCTGACTGCCCTTGAGCGGAAGCAGTGACCAACCTGCCAAATCCCATGGGGTCTGTCCCAGCCGTTAATTGCCCTCCAGGGTAAAGATGTGGGCACAGCTTCTAAGTAGAAGTTGTCTGGCCTCAGCTTGTAGTCACTAGTGATTTTCCTACTTTTCTCCAACAGATGAAGGAACTATAAAGCGTGCTGTACCTTCTGTGTAGGTACCTGCCCTCTATAGCCATATTACACTCAGATTTCTTCTTGGAAATTTAACCAGATTAAGCCCCTTGAATCCGTGTCAGCAAAGCATTCAGCCCTAGATCGAAGTCTTCAGCCCTAGAATCACCCTGGGCTCTCCTCTCCAGACTTGCCCCTCCAAGCCCAAGGGGCTCCCACCTCCATCTCACCAGGTACAGGAGGAAAAGCAGCTGCCTCTGGCTCGCTCCTGCTTATGCACTCAGCAGCCTGGAGCATCACGCTGACATTTCTGCTCAGCTTTTTGCTTTCTCTGAGATCTGCATTCTTTTCTAAACAAGTGAGCTTCAGGATACAGAGTCAGGATCGGGCCTTTTTTTGTGAAGTCCTGCATTTCTTTTTCCTATATAGGCCGCTTTACATCTGGCTGGATGAAAATGCACATTTTAAAAATGTCCAAATAGCCCTTAAGGTGGTTCAGTTGTCAAACGTCCTCGTTATTATTAGAACCACGATGCTAGTTTGCCATATTGTAGGTGTCTCATTTACACCAGCATGAGCTGGAGTCCGTGGGCCTGTCTGGTTTGCAGCAGGCAGAGAGGAGGTGAGAGCCGGACTGAACGATCTGCAGCACAGAGCCCGCAGGCCAGCCGCTCGCCTTGCCGCGGGTCAGGACGCAGCCTCTTCACCCAGAGGGAGTGAAGGACCATGCCGAGGAGAAGGAGGTGCAGCGCCCTGGCTGGCCTCCTCAGAGAAAAGTCAGAGTGAGAGCACTGCGGTTTTAAAATCGAAGCGGCGGGAGATTAAAATCCATCTGTAAACGTTGCTGGCACAAGGTGGCACAGTCGCTACACTAATTCCAGGGCATCTGGAAAGATCCCCAGCTCCACAGTGCTGCACGCTGCGGCGTCTCCGATGCACGTGCGTTGTGCCTGGGATGAAGAACCAGGAGCTACGCGAGGCTCTCCCAGGCAGAGCATCGGGACTGATGGGCAGCAGATGCCGTCGCCAGCAGCTCCACAGGGCGCAGGCGTGACAAGCCGGGCCCGGGCGGGCAGCTGGGACACACATGGGCTCGCCCACGCTTGGGGTGGGACACACGCTGACCCCTGCACACGTGTTCCCACCGCCGTCCCGCCGTTACAGAGGTGGAGGTCGGATGGTTTCTTTACTGAGTAGTACACGCACCACAGACGGGGGCGGAAATCCCAAACTGCAGCCGCTTTGCTGAGACTTCACGTGGTTTTGTGGTGGTGATGAATGGGCCCCCCCGCGACTCGCACGGCAAGAGCTAGGCACAGCTCCTGCCTCTCCTGGGACGTTCAGGCTGGGTTGCCTTTGACAAAGAGTCTCTCTGGGTTTTGTCTACCCACACATTTGTTTCCAGCACTGCAAAAGACGTGGTTTTCTTAACAGTGCGTCCTCCTTCTGTTGTTACTCCCCGCTCAGGGCTGTCACACTGAGCCAGTGCCTAGGGTGCTGTAGGAGTATTGGATGTTCTCAAACAGCTCTTCACAGTCTCTTCGAAACATCTCTTCTGGCCCCGTTGGGACCAGGGTAGCGTTGGGCGCCTCAGCTGACTGGAAGTCATGTTTGGAAGTAATCTGTGATCCGGGTTGTGCAGAGACAGCCAGTCTATCACAGTCATGCCTGCACTATCACAGCTTCGTGCCAAGGGCCTGCACTTGCCTCAGGACCTCACCTGAAGGACACAAGCTAGGTAGCAGCGATGAAATAGGTGGTGAAATGTGGTGCCCTGAAGAGCAGGCAGAGCTGACAGCAGCGCCAGCGATCAGGGGAATAGATGTGTGCTTCTCAAGCAAGCCTGGGGCAGAGTTTGGATGGTTTATTTTGGATGCAGAACTTGATCTGCAGCCCCATACTATCAAAGTCCTGTGTGCTGTCCCTGAGGGTGCCCACCCTGCTGCTGGCTGCTGTGGCAGCAGGGTTTGCCACCATCTGGGTGATTTGCATTACTGGCTGTGCCGTCCCATAGGTGGCAAAGGTACGCCTGCTTCCCCTGACCAGAGCTGTGGGGTGGAGGGGAGTGACCTTGTCTCGAGCTGCACAGTTAGGTGAGGCTGTGTATCTCCAGGAGAGTCCATCTTATTGCTCTTGCTGTTTGCACCTGCAAGCACCTTACCAGGCAAAAAAATATCTCCACTCAGGAAGGTACCTGTGGTAGTCCAAACACGAATTCCTGTCTTCAGGTTGGTCAGGGCTTGCACAACACCTAAGAGACACTGAAACAGCCTTTTGACTAAAACATTTTGCATCATCTGCAGATACTGCTCCTCACTGTTCACCCCCAATTATATCAGTGCCCGTGCTGCTTTGAGCCTTGGGGCACTCAGTTGTTAACCCTTGCCGTAAGGAGAGCTGACTTCTTACTCCTGTTCTTTACTTTCCCTCTATAGAAATGTTACATCTGCAATACCAAACTTTGTCTTGCAGCCCATTTATTCTTTTTCACCAATTGCTTTCTGCAGCTGGAGTTTCTGAAAGCCTTTCTGATGATCCAAACAAATCACATCAAGTAGTTTTACTTTAGCAGCTCTTTTTGTTGATGTGCTCCAATAATTCAAAGAGACGAGAATAGATCTGAGACGGGTATCTTGCCAGCCCGGTCTGTGATGAAGACCGATACTGACTCAGTAGTGGCACATCAGATGTAAAGAGCACTAGCAAAGATGGCCCTTGCCGCAAGCTGGTTGTGTCGAAGTGAGTGAGTGAAAAGAAATCAGAGTCTCCCATTCTTTGCTTGGCAAAGGTGGTAGATGTCGCTTTTCTCTGTCCTGCTGGACATTTCCCAGGTTTCCTGACTTTTTTGTCTTCTCCATTTCTAAGAAATTAATCTCTGAATCCCTCATATCTCACCTTTCCTCCGTATGTGCAGTCACATGAACTGAATCCCTGTCAACTGAGCACTGCAGGGCTTTGAAACCTCCCAGCACCCTGAGCCGCCTGTCTGAGCATCCTTTTTCCAGCATCTTTTTAAAGTGTTCCTGCAGTGAAACGAGTCTTTTCCTTTATGACAAGATGCTGTCTGTTGCTTTGACTCTTGCTCTCATGGCTGCTCTGGTATTGTGTCATCTCCCAACTCGGACCGAGCATTTTGCTACTGTCAGCCCAACAGGATTTTGGAGAAACACTCTCTTCATACATCAGCTTTTACACTTTGTCTGCAGTACCGGATTACAGGAGAAAATCTTGCTTTGCTTTCCCTGGATAAACTCAGTCTGCTGCTTAAATTGTGGTTAACCTTAGTGTTGATGGAGCCCAAATGGCAAGGGAGGCTACTTTTGGAGCTTTCACTTGATAGCAGATAGTGGTGAAAATAGCATTTGGAAAATTATGTTTCATGAGGGTAATTGGGAGTCTGCTTGTGAGAATTCAGCTCGTGGCGCAGCAGTGGAAGAATCAACCTCAGGGCTGGTGCATGAAGGCTGAGTCCTGAGGGTTACGCTTTGTGAAAGGGACCGATGTCCTTCATGCAAAATTTTGCTTCAGAAGGCATGTCTCCCACAAGATATGGCTTCGCTGGAAACGGGAGCACGGATGGCTGGCAAGCGCTATTAAACCGCTTGCTGGCATGACCTGGCTTGGGAAGATTTTGTCTGAAGTCTTCTCAGCCCTCCCAGCGCAGAGTCAACTGGTGAGGACAAATCTCATAACACATCTCCTTTTAATCAAGTCTCAGCACCCCTGACAGGAAAGCTGCGTGCCCCAGAGGGAGGATGTGGCTGGGAGTCACAGAGTGAGGACTGAACAGCAAAGGAAGAAGGATTCCTAGCTTGGATTGATCCAGCAAGTTATCTGTATCAAAATGTTGATGAAATGATGTAACTTGGTACAAAGGTCCCTGTCTGGATAAGATCAGCTGCATCGATACGTGAGCACATGTGCTGCAGTTTTCTGAGGCGTAAGCAGATGCTGAGAAACTCCTTCCATCAGCTGCTGATGGAAACAGCAAAGAAATGTTAGATTGCTGTTACCTCCTTCCCCAAAGGTTTAATAATTTCCTTGCAGCTCTGTGATTAAGCTGAGTGCTGCTGATTCTCCTGATGGAGAGGAGACTCTTGGAGTCTGCAAGAGCTTAGCTATTGACTTCAATAATAACAGCATTCAGGTTAATGCTGCAAAATCTCTGCCTTGTTTAGCCTATAAAAACCCCCATGTTATAGCTCTTCACAGTCCATTAGGGAAACGGTTTGCTCACCTCGGTGAGCGAATCTGGAGGCAGAGCCTGTGGACAGTTGCATCTGGAAGATGGGCAATCCTTACCTCTTTGGGGAACTGAGCCCGTGGTTTGCATGGTCACTGAGCTTCTTTGGGTGCACACAGGGTGCAGGCGATGTCTTCTCCGCGCCTTTGGCTTCCTGTGACTGCCCAGTTGTGTGACTGAGGGTCCCCTCTAGATGCACAGCCTCCTCTCCCTCACTTCAGCCTGCTCTGCAAATCCCAGGCCTTTAACAAGGATCCTCTTATCTACGCAGTGGCTTCCTCGAGTCTTTAGGTTTATTGATTAGAAAAGATTTATGTTAATGAAGAATGAGTCCAGAATAAAGCATGCAGCGTGGTCAAATCTCTCTCTGAGGTAAACAGCAGTAACATGTGTTTCACTGTTCAGAAAAAGGCTGGGGCACACATTTAGCACAGGGTTTACAGGACTGCCCAATTTCTGGTCTGCCCCCATCCCAAGCCCGGTTCCTCTTAGTTTAATCCTCTTTGGCCTCAGTAGAGTTAGAGCAGGAAGGAATTCAGTTCCTGATCTGTACCCCACACCAACAATGATGTCACAGCAGCATTCCACCCCAATGTACTTTGAAAACATGCAAATTGAATAGTTTATTAGTAATTAGCTTTCTTAGCAGCTAAATTCAGGTCTACGATGGTGACCCTGCTTCGGCAGGGGGGTTGGACTAGATGACCCACAGAGGTCCCTTCCAACCCCGAACATTCTGTGATTCCGTTGTCCAGTTTCAGGGGTGGCAGGGGAAGCAGAGTTCATGCACACAATTTTGACTTTGTGTAGTAAAAACCAGGCCTGCAGGGCAGAGAAATCCCAGCAAAGGAGGGGCTGAGATCCAGAGCTGAAGGCTTTGGGTCTTCTGAGAGAGCATCACCTACCCTGTCTGCGGGCATGGGTGTGTGTCTGCGCTCACGCTGTGCAAGGGTTAGATGAGGGGAACCTGGGACTGCTATTTTGGATTTGACTGGTGAGCTAATTTTAGCAGCTCCGTGTAAGAATACACATGTCAAGCCTCTGAGACTACCTGAGATGCCAGCAGCAATGAGGTGGCCTGGGCTGGCCCCAGGAGGAGGGTGACACGTGGAGCAGGAGCAGAGGTGCCTTGGGGAGGGAGGGAGGGATGCAGCCCGGGCTGGGGGCAGCGGAGGGAGGCTTGTTGGATGGGAGCAGCACGGGGGCCATCAGCAGGGCTGGTACAGGGGCAGCATCCCCAGATGGACTGTCAGGAGACATTACAGGTCAGGGCTAAGGGCACATTAGCAGATGCATGTGCAGGAAGGAAGCTTTAGTCCATGAAATCGTTTTCTTGCTTGCATGCATACCGTTCACTCAGAAACATAAAGATAAAATAATCCCTTGGCTTTCTGCATGCTGTATTCTTGATGTTTCATTCATAGCTTTATAGGGTTCTTCAAATATTCTGTATCATATCATACATGAAAGGGAGAAAAGTAGTTCTTTTGCAGGCTTAAAAGCAAATGGGGGAAAAAAAGTAAACTCAAATCCCAGAGCACTAGAATAACAAATTTAAAAACCTGAGGAACCAATGATTTTTATTTTAATAACCAGAGTAGCTTAGGGCCCCAGTAATATTTCATTATATTAAATTTGAACACCGAATCGACCCACTGTACTAATGCTTGTAATTGCAAAAGGCAAATTTTATTTCCCCACATTGTCTGGGAAACTGGAAGACCATGGAATAGTAAGGAGGCCACAGGTTAGCATGGAGCTGCAGCAGGATGGAGCTACAAGGAGACTTAAGATTGGTGCTACAAGGAGCAGTGACAGGCCTGCTGGAGAATTCTAGGCAGAGCTGCGTGGAGGACAGGAGGTTGTGTGGGCAGAGCAGGTTGTGTGCTTCTCATGGCCCTGTGGCATTGTACGTGCAGCAGAACGTATTCACAAGTGGTTCCCCATAAGTTTTTTGACTCCCGGAAGGAATTGACCCTGAAACACGAGGGATGATCAGCAAGGAGCCTCTTCATTTCCCCTTCCCCTTTCACTGCACCTCTACCTGCCCGCACGGACAAGAGAGATCTTCCCTGAGTGCCCAGGGTGTTTCCAGCTGGGGAGGTGGACAGGTGAATGAAGGTCTCGGCTGGGCCGATGCCTCTCTGCAGGCTGTTGGGAAAGCTGTGCCCGTGGGTGCTGCCCGACAGAGCAGAGACGTGACTGGGAGCCAGCACTCGGGATTACTTTCCCCAGCTCTGCCCCCGGCTCTGCGCTGCGCGACCTTTGACAAATCGCTTAGGAAATCACTTTCAAACCAGCGCAGATACAATTAGGTGCCTCTGTATAAAAGTGCCTGCTTTTCAGAGGCCTGAACCAGCAAGCCTGGGTAAATTAGCACTGTTGGACTCCAGCCCGCTTCTGAGTTTGCAGAATGCTCCCTTTAGCCTCTCTTTGCTTGCTTCACCATCTGTCAAATGGGGCTGTTAATACTGACTCAGTCTTTGTACAGAGTTTTAAGCTTCTGAGACTAAAAGTGCATGATAAGAAGTGTTAGTAATTACAAGACTGTCATCACATGCAACCAAGTCTATGGGGACCAGTTCGCTGTTTGAAGGACAGATTGAAGTCAAAGCTAAGGCACAGAGCTGGTGCTCGGCCCCTCTCAAAAAGGGTTCGGTATTTTTTGCTATGCAGACTCTCCTGTAGTTAGTTTGAAACTTGGATTCAGACCGTGGTGTTCTAGGCATAACACCTAGGAGGGATCCAGCCAGATGTTTCTTTCTGACAGCACCGGGGAGTGGATAAATCAAGGCAGGGGAGGGCCAGGACGTCACTGCCTAAGGCAGCAAGAGGGCTGGGCTGTGCCCGTATGGAAATTCAGGGTAAGGTCATCCCTTGCAAGGACCTTTGCCCCCTTCTCATCCATTCCTTCCACCTCTAATCTCGCAGGACCACGCTGTCACATTTCCCGGGAGGCAGCTGCCTCCCAATGCAATGGCAGAGCACGGTATGTGCCCGTGCAGCACTGTCAGGCAGACCTGAAATTGGGAGCAGAGAGAGCCAGGGGGACTCAGAGCAGTGATGCTTTATGTGTGCCTGTGCTCCTCTCAGCACCCTGACCCTCTGGAGCGGTACCTGTGGGGTGCAGGATAGGCGTAGGCGAGCCAGGGTGTCCCGGGGAATGATGCATGGCCACGTTACCCACTGCCCTGTTTCCCACTGGAGGCCAGCACCCATTTTATCAACACCTTCCCCTGACAATGCTCCTCTCAGTGAGCTGCCCATCACCTTTGGCCACCCTTTCTTCTCAGCCACCCACGGGTTTACCAGGGCCCTCCTGGTTGTGCCAAGCCCCACCACAACCACACACTTCCAGATGAAGCGGGGGCCCCTCCCCCCCCACCCCCACCCCACCTTCGGGTCAGTTTGGGTCACATCAGGCCCCGATGGCAAGCGTAACCGTCCCCCTCTGACTTTTCCCTTTTCCTCCTCGCTACTCCCTGCCTGCATCCCATCCCTCTGCTTTCTTCTGGGGGGGTGACTTTGGGGACCCAGACCGCCAGTGCTCACCAGCCTCCTCCCCATCTCGCTGCCACAGGCTCTGCGCCCCAGCCTGCGCCCGGCATGCAGCCCCAGCGAGCTCGCACACTGCCTTGCTCCATGTCCATTGCTCACTGACAGCCGTCATCTGTAAAGCAGCTTTTCCCTGGGATATTAACTTTTTCCCTCTTTTCTTCTCTCTCCGTGTCTTTCTCATGTTCTCTCCCCACAGCCCTGCTGCTCACCCAAGGTAAGTGCTTTTTCTCCTTTCCTCTGCCTGCTCTGGCTCTTTTCGTCCTCTTCAGTCAGCCCCTCGTGTTTGTGTTTGCTGTGTTGTCAACAACCCCAGCTCATGGTGTTCACATCCAGCAGGAACTAGTTAAGAGCAGTGCATTAAGAACATGACAGTGATTGATGGATGCCTAAGAGCCTTCCCTACATTCCAGATCTTTCCCCGGTGCTTTGGGAAATGACACAGCCAGGGTTGCACAGCAGAACATGCAGCTCTGGCTGGTCCAGGGCCGTGACTCAACCCTCTCCTTGGGCAGCCCTGGGGCTTGGGTTGTGCTGATGCACCTGGGAGCATGGGGCTTTTCTGCGGGAGGATGACACTCCTGGGGTGCGGGGCGGTGTTGCCTGGGGTGGGCGAGGGTGCAGGGCTGCGCAGGCGTCCCCTTCCCATGCAGCATCAGGCCATGCATCGCCCCTCGGTGCGTGCACCCGGGTGCTCTCCATCTCCCGCCCTTGGGCAGGGGTCCCAGGGGTGCACCCAGCACCGGGTCAGTGCTGCCAGGGCACAGTAAGCATCAGCACCATTTCCCACCTCACCCTCGGCTCTGTCTCTGCACTCTTCATCTCCTCTCCCCTGAATACTGAGCCCCCCTTCCTTGCCCGAAATCCCCGTTACGGCAGTCTGTTTTGATCCCACTGCAGTGCGATGTACGCCTCCTGTATTCTTCTTATTCCTTCAATTCCAGATATGATTACCGTTAAATTTGCACTAAAGAAACATTTGTCAAAAGATAAGGGGGGGCACACAGGGTACAGAGAGGAGCTCAAATCTGACAGGTTTGCAAGCACAGCTGAAAACCAAAGTGTTCATCACGCTTGAGCTGGGCTGCAAATCAAAGGAGCAGCATCTGCCGTGCAAGCCTCAGTCTTCGCTCGTTTTCGGAGGATGCCAGATCTGCTGTGCAGGGGATGGCCTGAGCCCATCGGATATTGGGCTAATTAGGAAATTGTTAGTGGCAGGCAGAAGTCCCCAGGTCCCCAAATACCAGCTTAGGGTGTTTATGGAAAACTCCTTGGAGCGGTTTGGATGTTTTCCTTTGTTACTTCTTCAGGTCCGCGAGGACTGGAAATAAGTTGAGCACAGCCTTCTTCCCAGTAATTTCATTGCTTTAATTCAGTAGCTTGCTAATTTGATCAGAACCCTGGGAACCAAATAATTTCTATTAAAATAAATAACTTTCCTGTCTCTGTTGTGATCCAGCCTGATTGCTCTTGGCAGCTGTTATTGGAGAACTTGGTCACCAGCTACGGAAAGTTGCTTTCCAGTTAATAAAGAAAAGCCTCCTCCCTGTCTGGGAGGGAGGGGTCCCCGGGATGCCCTCCATGTATGGTGCATGCGTGTCCTGCGGTTCAGGGTCGCGTGCTTCAAGCCAGCAGCTGGCCGACGAGCAGAGCCCCGCTCGGCGCAGAGGCACGTGCTGGCGTGTCACTCAGCGGCAATCACGGCTGATCAGCGGGGAGAGAAGTGACGTCCTCGTTTAGTCCGTGTCATGTTAGATTTAGATTACACGGACGCACCTGAATCTTTGTGAAAAAAATGCATTACTGAACGTTTCAGTGGGATCTGTCGGTCCCGCTCCTTGCCTCCTCCCTCCCGGAGCAGCTCGCACGGCTTTTCCCAGGCAGCACCTCTTTCCCCGGGGCTGCGCCCCTGGGACCGCTGGGCACCCCGGCTCTCCTCCGCAGCCTCCCTGGGACCACAGAAGCCCTGGGATGTCCCGATGGATGAGTCCAAGTGAAACACACCTCTCTTGTCCCAGCAGCCCTTTCCTGGGGGTAAATGGGAGACCCTGGCTCTGCTGCCACCCCCCCTGCCTTGCAGAGTCCTCCCTGGGAAAACAGGGCTGTGAATTTTACACAAGGCAAAGTAACCAGGCAGGGGAGAGCCTCTGGCTCAGGTTCAGCTCAGCATTTGTTTCCTCCAAACAGGCTTTCCGAGCCAGACTTGCAAGGCTGTGCAAAGCTTCTGAAAGCTTTGCTTGGCCAAGTGTTCGGTGCCAGCTGTTGGGGCTGCAGAGGACCACAGTAGTATGGGGTGGCTGGGGAGTCACCTGAGAGTCAAACCAGTTTTTTTTTTAACTGCTCTGGTGCATAACTTTTTGTTTTGGTATGGGCCATGATCTCTCCTTGTACACTTTATACTGGGAAATACTCGATACTAAAGTGCATAGCTACTCCACTTGTCCCTGCTGTTGCCAGCAGTGGACGAGCTACTCTGGTGGTCTTTCCAGCCTTTGCAAAAGTCACTGGAAGCCTGAGCAGGGCCTTTGCTTGCAAGTTCTTGGGATTCAGGAGATGCAGATCTTTACAGGGATGAGGAATTACCTAAATGGTAGATACTTCTCTACCCTCATTTCCACATATTCACCCAGATCAAAGAAAATATTTCAAATATATTTCTTTATGCATTAAAACTCCTGGGTCCACTTTGCAGTGGGAAAGACTGGGGAGCAGAGACGCCAGCTGACTGGCCTGTCGGGGACAGTCGTGTCAACAGCAATCTGAAGGCAGAGCCAGTGGTGGAATAATGCGCAGTTCCCAGCCCTGTGCCTTAGCCTGCCTCTCAGGAATGTGCAGCATTTCCCAGTTAATGTTAAAGATGCTGGGGCATGTATATGGGATGTATCACGCCTCAGAAATAGCTTTCAGGGCTAAGTAAGCAGATTTCTCTCTTTTTAGAAAGCAGCCCAGGCTGCCCGTGCTTGTGTGTGTGCATGCGTTTCAGTACAGGGCATATCCATATGCTGACCTCAAAAGCCCGCGTGTCTTTTAGCCAGCAGTCTTCCCCAGTTGTGACTGACGGCTTGACAGCACTCTGGAGAGAGGAACTCATTCATGTTCAGTGTTTACTTTGTTTAGCCAGGATTATATTTTATTGAGCCGCAACAAAAAAACATCCCATTTTAATTGTCGTTTTAATTTCTTCCTAGCAGCACAGTCCCCAGAAGGGGTGACCTTCATGCAAATACGTGCCCGCTCTAGAAATGGATGGAGACGAGATTGCTTGAGGGGTGTGAAATGGCCTTCATAGCAATCTTTCATGAATACATTGGTGGTTTCAAACCAATTTATTCAGCAAGTGACAGGGAATACACACTGGTCCGTGGCTGTTTGGTAGTCTTGCAGCATTGCCTAGGTGATGGGTAGCTACCTCTCTAATGGTGTTACAGGGCCTTCCCATTGCCTGTTTCAGCTCAGAAGGTGTAGTGGCCAGATTACCCCATGGAAATGGACTTTATATAACTTTGATTTATGATGTGTCCAAAGGGCCACAGGCAGTGGTCCCATTTGCCCCCCCTCCCCCCAGTCTGAAGGAGGGTGAGCTGGCAAGCGTTTGTGGAGTACCTACCTTCCAGGAGCGATGCATGATGTGGGAACGCTGCTTGGTGCTCCTCATTCCCCTGGAAAAAATAAGAGGAGGAGGGGATCTGCTTACAGTATTTTTGAGCCCAAGAAACTGCCTATCATGTGCAGGTCAGAAAGTGCTTTGCAAGCAGCTGCAGCTCAGGTCCCAGGACGGCGTGACGGGGGCATTCCCAGCAGGGCTGCAGAGCACAGCAGTGGCAGGACCACAACTGGGAGCTGCTGCCCCCCCACCCCCTCTGTCCTGCCTTTAAGGATCTGAACTGACGGCGAATGAGGCAGAGTAAGTGAGAACGTGGGGTAGTTTAGCCAAAAGCCTCTCCTTGCTTCCTACAGGCAGGCGTTGGTGTCAGCTGTGGCCATTGCTACAGCCTGGGCAAAAGCAGACTTCATTCTCCTCCCTCTCACCCAGCCTTTGAGCTTACCAGATCTGTTCGTCTCCCCTGCTTGTGGCATCTCCTCTCTAACCCGTGGGCTCCCTGGCACTCGGAGCAGAGTACCTCGGTTGCCTAGCCTTAGCAGCCTGTGCACGCTCCTGTAGCCCAGAGGTTGCTAGCGCTCGACAGTAGCACACACCTATATGCCAGAGCAGGCAGGGTTTAGGGAACCCTTCTCTCCCCACCTTCCCCTTCCCATGGAGGAGGTGGAGGCAGCCCAGGAGGTCCTGGCAAGCTCCTGTTCTTGCTGGGCAGAGCCAGACCTTATCAGGCTTAATTGGGGTTGACAGCAGGGAGTCTAGGGTGCAGTCCACATTGAGAGGTAGGTACTGCTGCTGATACAAACAGAAACTGGGCTAGTTAATAATTAAGCTGGAGCTTGGCAGCGTTCACCTTGACAGACCTGACCTTCCAAACTGAAAGTCTGTCTCTCCCCCCTGCCCCTTGTGTTTTATTTAGCACAGCCCTTGATAGTCTTTGCAGGCTAACGCACCGGGGCCATGTGTGTCACACCTCACTGATGCCCTGTCCCTGCTTCCCGAAGGAGCCCTCCAAGACCCCCATCCCTACACCCAGTCCCTCAGGAGGTGGGGGCCTGTGGCTACCATAGCCCACGTGGGAGCATGCCCCCGCTTGCTGCAGAGACAGTGGCCCTCTGCGGCTTGCTGCAGAGACAGTGGCCTTCTGCGGCTCTGGAGGCAGGCTGGTGCACCCTGCTGCTGGCTGAAGTGCTTGTCTGAAAGGCAGGAGCATCGGGATGTGCTCTGCCATTAGGATGCTGCACGAGTTTATTCCCTCTCAGCTGTTGGACCTGTACACATGGGGCTCAACAGCATCCCATGGGAACAGAGAGACAGAGCAGGCCTGGTTCAGGCTCAGGTTGGGGTCTGGTGTTTTGCAGAGGTTGGCACTGATTTGTGCTACAGAGTGCTGAAGTGTTCTAAAGTGTTCAGGTGGGGAGCAGTGGTGGATTCGTGTAGGTGCTTTGTATTGCTCTTCGGAGGTGCTTAACTCTCCCCTTAATTGTACAGTGAGTATAGACTGGGGCAAGAGACATGTCGACTGGGCTCTTAAGCTTGTCCTTCCTACCACAGATGGCACTGCTCTAACTTTAGAGGACAATCGGCAGCCTGGTATGTGGCACCTATGGATCGCTTGCACGAGTGCATTGAGCAAGATCCAGCACAGTATTGACATGTGGTGCAAACTGTCTCCTGCATTAGCATAAAGGCTCGGTGAAAATACAATGGCAGGTTCAGTGTTTTCAGATGCATCTTTGAATTTGGTTAGGTTTCTGTGCTTTGCTTTCCTGTTGCACATTCACAAATGTGACTGCTTCTTAATGAGGCGTGAAGGAATTACCTCCTTTTTTTCATTGTCTGCAAGCTTCCTCTATTAACATTTCTGCGAGGTACCCATTTGGAGATGCTGCCTGTACCTGTTCTCCTGCGGTTTGCTCGCAGCTGACATTGAAAGACAGCCTGGGAGTGGTGTTCAATCAGCTGCCCCCATAGGACATTCTTGACGTGCCTTCTTGGGCAACCGTGTTTCTTCTCTCTGCGCCCCAGTTCACCATATTCACTGCAAAGGAGCTGCCTGGTGACAGCAGGGCCTTCATTATTCATGTCTCGGTGGACATGCTGTCAGCAGGCTGTGGGTCTCCATCGCTGGCCAGCTTGTTCCTTCACTGCGAGTGGCCTGCCTAGGGTTTTGTCATGGTTTAGCCTGCCTGATGCCAGGTGCCCACCAAAGCTGCTTGATCGCTCCCCCTCCTCAATGGGACAGGGGAGAAAAAGTACGATGAAAGGCTCGTGGGGCGAGATAAGGGCAGGGATTTATTTCCCTCACCAATTATTTTGCTCACCAATTACCGTCATGGGCAAAACAGACTCGAGTTGGGGAAATCAGTTTAATTTGTCACCAATCAAATCAGAGCAGGATAATGAGAAATAAAACCAAATCTTAAAAACACCTTCCCCCCACTCCTCCCTTCTTCCTGGGCTCAATTTTACTGCAGAATTCTCTATCTCCTCCCTTCCAGCGGCAAAGGAGGACAGGGAATGGGGGTTGAGGTCAGTTCATCACACATCGTCTCTGCCGCTCCTTCCTCCTGCTCCAGCGTGGAGTCCCACCCATGGACTGCAGTCCTTCAGGAATTGCTACAGCGTGAGTTCCCCACGGATCCACAGGTCCTGCCAGGAGCCTGCTCCAGCACGGGCTCCCCATGGGGGCACAGCTGCATTTGGGCATGCCCCTGCTCCCGTGTGGGGTCCTCCCCAGGCTGCAGGTGGATCTCTGCTGCACCGTGGACCGCCATGGGCTGCAGGGGACAGCCTGCCTCACCTACGGTCTTCTCCATGGGCTGCAGGGAAATCTCTGCTCCGGTGCCTGGAGCACCTCCTCCCCCTCCTTCTGCGCTGACCTTGGTGTCTGCAGGGCTGTTTCTCTCATGTATTCTCACATATCCTCTCTCCCGCTGCAAATTGCCCAGATTTTTTTTCCACCCTTGTTAAATGTGTTATCCCTGAGGTGCTACCACCGCCACTGATGGGTTCGGCCTTGGCCAGCAGCAGGTCTGACTTGGAGCTGGCTGGCACTGGCTCTGTCATAGGGGAAGCTTCGAGCAGCTTCTCCAAAAAGCCACCCCTGTAGCCACCCCACTATTAAAACCTCAAAACCTTGCCATGAAACCCAGTACAGCCTTGAAGGTGCCTCTGGGGGCACTTCTTCCACTGACAAGGTGCCCTCTGAAATAGTGCAAGTCCCACAGTTCTTCAGTGCTGTGGTAAACACCAGTGCTTTTGCTTTGGCGGAGTGCCTGGTCCCACACTCACACTGCATCCAGCCCCCAGGTTTAGAGTCATCTGTGCACTCGTGGACATGGACGTGTTGCTTGATTTACTCCAAGAGCTGCCTGGCGAGTGATTGGCATGTTCATCAAGTCAGTAGGTGATCTGCAAGTGGCTTGCAGAGATAGTGAAGCCACCTGCAAGCAGTCAGAGGTCCTGCCTCTGGCCATGGACATGGGGATTCCCATGCAGTCTGCTTTACAGCCTTGGACCTGGTGCGCAGTCGGAAGAGACGGAGCAGGTGTCCCTCCTCAGAGGAGGGCATCAGGTCTCATGCTGTCCTGCCTGGCACAGGTACATAAACTAGCATGAGCAAGGTGCCAGATTCTGAGATAAAGCCATGTTGGGTACCGCTCCCTGCGGGGAGGAGGCGGCGTTCAGCACTGCGTGTGCTTACAGACCTGCCTGTGGCTCAGCCTTGCCTAGATGGCTAATATCTGTGTGACACTCCATGTTGTTTTACCCTGCCAAAGGCTTTTGTTGAATCAATTAAAGTGGGGACCTAGGCTGCGTTTCTCCTGGAGTTGTTAATCTGAGGAAATTCTGCCGGATATTCCCCATTTTCAGGGCAGCTCTTCTGATTCCAGACATTTGCTTTCTCTGCTGTGCAACAGCAGCCAGTGGGTGAGAGCCCAAGAGACCGTGCCGCCAGCTGCGACCGCAGCTTTTCTGGTGCAGTTACTTCCCAGCGAAGCGAAGGTTGTAGTGAGCCAGACTGTCCCCGAGCCCGGGTTTTGCAGCCCTGCTGTGGTGGCTGCTGTGCTTTTTGCTCAGCTCAGTACTGTCAGCACACGTCAGCACACGCTCAGCTCATCTGCCAAGATGGCCCTTGCAGAGCTGAGGGTGCCTCCTTCTTTGAGCTTCAGGTTATGGAAGAGCTCAGAGAGAAGCTGATGTGTAAGCACCTGCATTTTTAACGATGGGTACAGCTTGTCATCTTCATACACTTCCAGGCAGAGGCAGAGACTGGACTTTCTCCATCTCCGTCTTGGAAAAAGAGATGTAGATTTCATCTAACTCCCCTCTCAAGTGAACATAAGTAACGTCAATCTTGTTCTTGATGATCATCAGTTCATGTCTCTGAGTGCAGCATAAGACAGAACGTTTTGTCCACGTTCACCCCTGTTTCTGCACTTCTGCAGCTCAGCTGCCTCCTCCGGCTCTGTGCTTGCTTGGCCTTTGCTTGCAGTTGCCCTCTTAAACTTCTGGCATCCTGCATTGCCCGGCTGTGTTGTCCACCACCTTCTCCAGGTGCTGTGCTCCCCTGTCTCAGTATCTGTAACCTTTCAGGGATTCCGAGATCCAGAGTACACTGGCTTTGAGCTAGGCAGTGGTGGTTTTGATGTATGTCATTTATTTCCAATGATGGATGTAGCTGTTTCTGCTTCTGTGATGGGTTATAATAATGTCACCTGCCACAGGAGTTATTATATATTTTATGAACTCTGCAGGACTTGTGAGGCTTACAGTCTTTGCACTCAATCTGTCTGGCTTGATGAAGAGAAGGCAGAGTTTATATCTAGATTTCACTGGGACTTTATAATTTCTGTGTGATTTTTGGTGCGTAGTATGAGATCTGCTGGAACTTGCATGGGTTTAATCAAATCTGAGGCATTACCTGGGGTGTTAGTAAACTCTACAAGAAACCTTGGGTGAGATCAGGCCCACTGTTCAGCCAGAACAAAATGCTCTATGTTTGTGATACCCCTCTCCCAGGTTCTGCAGAGCTCCAGCTTCTTCTCGCAGGCTCAGCTGGGCCCCATGTTGGAGCTTGTATGCCCTGACTGGTCGGGCACAGGAAAGTCGCAGGAACCCCAGCTTTTTTCTTGAGCTGTCAAGGCTTTTCAGAGAACCCACTTGCACTTGGGTGTGTGGGTAGGAGAGGAGACCTGGGTCAGGGCCGGGGACAGTGCTAGGGCATCTTTCATGCTGGTTGGGGTGCTCCTTCCCGTCCAGGCAACCAGAACCTCCCCAGGTGCCTCACTGGGTTTGCTGGGGCTTCAGCAAGGTGAGCCTGATGCAAAGTCATCTCGGCATGCTGCACCTCCCAGGCAGTCCCACAGGGCAGACCTTGTGCCCCATGGTGACATCTGCTGACCTGGGATCCTGCTTTAGTTTCCTCCAGAAGAAACTAAACATCCAGGAAAGCAAAACCCCACTTGGCTCCTGACTTACTGCTTTTCGTTCATTTTTGCAAATTCTAGGAACACCTCTGTTGTGTGTGTGTGGTTGTGGCTGTATGTGTCCGTCTGCGAGTGAGATCAAGCACTGAGTGATGCAGAGTGCCAACAGGTGTTTTGTAATCAAAGGGGAATAAAGTGATCCTGCGTCTTGTTCATTCAAACCAGGAAACACGCCAGGGCATTGAAGCTGTCTTAAAGGACACCTGTGCCAAGTGGCAGAATGAAGCGGTACCTCAGTCTCACCAGCTGCTGCAGGGATGATGGGAGGGTGCATCTCATCCAAGAGCACCAATGCAAGCTGAAGAAATATTTGGGTTTTTTTAAAATAAATTAAAACCTTGTTGTATATGTTCTTGGTGACTAACTGGTATTCAGAAATCTTGGTTCTTTGTTTCTGTGGTCCAACACCCCACCACTGCCCCCCCAGATCACTGCGTGAGCTTAGAAAGCTGAGAAGGGGCTGCAGAAGGCTGTGCTCAGGCCCTGCAGACAAGCCCCCATGGTGCCCCAGTGCTCCAGGGCCGCTGTCTACAGCTTGGTGTTGACCTTGCTTTCACAGAGGTGGCTGAGAGGAAGCTGACAGTTGAAGAGGAAGAAGCCAAGAGGATTGCAGAGATGGGCAAACCAATACTTGGCGAGCATCCCAAACTAGAAGTCATCATTGAGGAGTCCTATGAATTCAAGGTCAGTAGTTGTCCCAGCTGTCCTCCAGGAGGGGAAAGCTGCATGGCACTGAAGAGCAGCCATGGAAAGTAGAACTGAGGAGGCTAGGGGTGGCCACACGTGCAGGTAAAGGGCTGCTGGAAGGTGAAAAGGAGTATGCAGTGCAGTAGAGTATGGGTGCAGCCTACAAGAAGTGCCAGGGGATGTAGCTGCTGGTAGGCGGAGGTGAAGGGAGGAAGACGAGGGAGCCCTTCTGGAAGCAGAAAAGCCAATGTGCAAAAGAGGGCAGGAGCAAAGCCATCTCTGGTGAGGCAGGGGCAACAGAAGAAGGAGCCTCCTCTGGAGTAAGGGGTGGCAAAGAAGCAGGCTCTGTTGAGGTTTGGATCAGCCTGTCCAGCTCCAGTTATGGCCTCATCTGACTGGTAAGAGAGTGCTTGTGGCTCCTCAACAGTTTGGGAAGGGTCAGTGAGACCACAGTGCACTGCAAGATCAGTCTTCCCTGCTAGCAGCCAGTTTAATTGCTGTGCATCTTTATTCCCACAACAGAGCACCGTGGACAAGCTGATTAAGAAGACAAACCTGGCTTTGGTTGTAGGGACACATTCCTGGAGGGACCAGTTCATGGAGGCCATTACCGTCAGCGCAGGTGAGGGTGACATCAGAAAACCCACAGCAGCATCCCCAGGGTTCATGCAGCCTGGGATGAGATCTCTCTGGGCTCAGGTGACTGCATCTGCCTGGTCAGTGATGCTCAGCTGTTGCATGTGTGGTGATCATCAGCAAAGCCAGTCCAAAGAGTTCCTCTGCTCCAAATACACTGGGCTTTTGCAGGTGCATTAGCTGGGAGCCCGGGAGATCCATCTTTTGGTGTGGAGCCATCCAGGATGCCAGTTTTCAAAGACTTGGCTTCTGCTGGCGGTGCTCCTGCTGCTTCAGTGGTCTCATGAGCAGCGTACAGGCAGCAAAATCCCACCCTGGCTGGGCTGCTGGCTTATGCTGTGCCAAGTGCTGTCCTGTACAGGGAGCTCCTGCTGCTGAAAGATGCCATGGCCAGTAGAGTTTCTGGGAGTAGAGAGGGTTACCATGTATGGGTGGGCGATGTTGCCCCAGAGGCAGCAGCTGGTGGAGGGAAAGCCCCAGAGACCTGCCAGCTGTTGCCCAGGGAGCCTGAGAGCACTCACTGCTTTCAGAGCCATGGAGCAGACATTTTAGGCATGTCCATGACATTAACAACACTCAGGCACCTTTCTGAACCTTTTCTTGATGGTTTGGCATCTTTCCCAAAGGGCTGTTTCCCACCCAGCCTTAGTGCAGGCAGCAGGCAGGCAGGCAGCTGAGTGGGAGCTGCCACCGGTTGCCACAAGGTCTTCTGCTGTGAAAGAAGAAGTGCGGGGTATTCAGTTTCCTTCTTTCTAGTAATTAAGACAAACTGCTTCTGTGGAAACAATACTTCCATTATTGCAGCAAGCAGGCCTGCTTCTCTCTCCCTCCATCTCTCTCCTTCCTGTGCCATCTTCTTTGTGCTCCCTACCTGCTTTCCCTTTCACCAGTTTATTTCCGTCATCCTGTATCTGCACAAAGACCAGCAGTGCTTCCAGCCTTGAGGCTGGCCTGGCCCACCACGCTAAGGAGGGAGCCCCTCCGAGGGGCTGCAGCACTGGTGATGGTGATGATACCCTCAAGCAGGTGAGAAGTTTCTTGCTGGGGCACTGCTGGTGACCAGCCTGTGCTCTGATGCAGGAGGACCAAGAGGTCACTCCACTTTTCCCGATTCTACCACTTTATGCTATCTTAGCCCCCAAAACATGACTTGCCTGTGTGACTTCATGGTGCCCCTCAACAGTCATCTCCACAGTCTGACTGCACACTGTATGACTGCCTGTGGATGAGAACAGGGACGAGGATGGGACTGCCCCAGCCCTGCAGGCTCTAGGTGTCCTAGGAGGCACCCCTCTTGCCAAGCCTTACCCATCACTGAGGGACCTGGTGTGCCCTGAGCCCACTGTCGTGGCTGGCACCACACCACCTTGTCCCAGGAGAGCAGCATCCTTGGAGCCCTGGGGTGGGGGGGCCAAGCACCACGGGCTGCAGAGCACCTCCGTAATGTTCACCTGCCCCTTCATGAGCGCTGGACCTCTCCTTCCACATTGTTTGCAGCGGGGGATGAAGATGAGGACGAATCCGGTGAAGAGCGGCTGCCATCCTGCTTTGACTACGTGATGCACTTCCTGACCGTCTTCTGGAAGGTGCTGTTTGCCTGCGTGCCCCCCACTGAGTACTGCAACGGCTGGGCCTGCTTCGTCGTCTCCATCCTCATCATTGGCATGCTCACAGCCGTCATTGGTGATCTTGCCTCCCACTTTGGCTGCACCATTGGCCTCAAGGACTCGGTGACCGCCGTCATCTTTGTCGCCTTTGGCACTTCTGTACCAGGTGGGGTGGCTGTGGGGAGAAGATGGGGTGGGCGGAAAGTCCTCCTCCAGTGGCTTTTCTTCCCCTGGGTAGCAGCTCCGTCATGGGGATGGGGATCAGGCTGGGAAGAGGGTCCCCAGTGCCCTGTCCCTGGGCAAGGTCTGCACCCCACTTGGTGGCAGCACAGGGTCCCTGGGACCTGTGGAGGGAGGGTGTGCACCAGGAGAGATCCGTGTCCCAAACTGGCCAGTACCACACCTGAGCCTCCCTTGTCCCCCAGACATGAAGGGCGGCCCATTTCTTCTGTCGGACCCCCGGTGATTTCTCATTCCTTCCTCCCCCACCTCCAGACACGTTCGCCAGCAAAGCCGCAGCCATCCAGGACGTGTACGCCGACGCCTCCATCAGCAACGTCACAGGCAGCAATGCCGTCAACGTCTTCCTGGGCATCGGGCTGGCGTGGTCAGTGGCGGCGATCTACTGGGCATCACAGGGGCAGGAGTTCCAGGTGTCGGCGGGCACCCTGGCCTTCTCCGTCACCCTCTTCACCATCTTCGCCTTCGTCTGCATCAGCGTCCTCATGTACCGCCGCCGGCCCCACATCGGGGGCGAGCTGGGGGGGCCCCGCACCCCCAAACTCCTCACTGCTGGCCTATTCCTCGGCCTCTGGCTCCTCTACATCCTCTTCGCCAGTCTGGAAGCCTACTGCCACATCAAGGGCTTCTGAGGGGGGATGGGGACAGGGACGGGGACTGCCCGGCATTACCCTACGGCCAGGTTGGGAGGGGTTCGTGGCGACCTGGGTGGGGGGTGCGTCCCCATGGGGTCCATGTGCCTGTGGGTCCGTGGGGTCCTTCTGCCATCCCCATGGTCCCAAGGGTCCCCATGGCCCTGTAGGGTCCTCCTGCCATCCCCATGGTCCCAAGGGTCCCCATGGCCCCATAGGGTCCTCCTGGCATCTCCATATCCCCTTGGGGGTCCTCCTGCCATCCCCATGGTCCCAAGGGTCCCCATGGTCCCAAGGGTTCCCATGGCCCTGTAGGGTCCTCCTGCCATCCCTATGGCCCCTTGGGGTCCTCCTGGCATCCCCATGGTCCCTTGGGTTCCTCCTGGCATCTCCATATCCCCTTGGGGGTCCTCCTGCCATCCCCATGGCCCCTTGGGGTCCCCATGTCCCCCTGGGTTCCTGCTGCCACCCCAGTGACTCCTTGGGGTCCTCCTGCCATCTCCGTGTACCCAGAAGGTCCCCATGACCTCAGCAGTCCTCCTGCCATTCCCATGGCCCTTTGGAGTCCTTCTGGCATCTCCATATCCCCCTGGGGGGTCTTCCTGCCATCCCCATGGCCCCTCAGGGTCGTCCTGATCTCTCCATGTCCCCAAGGGTCCTCATGGCCACTTGAGGTCCTCCTGCCAACCCGTTGGCCCCTTGGGGTCCTCCTGGCATCTCCATGTCCTCAGAAGGTCCTCATGTCCCCCTGGGGTCATTCGGCCATCCCCATGTCCCCAAGAATCCCTATGGCTCCTTGGGGTCTTCCTAGCATGCCCATGTCCCCTTGGGGTTCTCCTGGCACCCCCATGGCTCCAGAAGGTCCCCATGTCTGCCTGGGGTCCTCCTGCCAATTCCATGGCTCCAAGGATCCTCCTGCCATCACCATGTCCCCAAGAGTCCCCATGGCCCCTTGGGGTCATCCTCCAACCCCCACATTCCCAGATGGTCCCCATGGCCTCTTGGGTTCTCCTGGTGTCCCCATGTCTCCTTGGGGGTCTTCCTACCACCCCCATGTCCTCTTGGGGTCCTCATGTCCCCTCCAGAGCCCCCAGGTCACCCCATGTCCCCTTGGGGTCCTCCTGCCAATCCCATGTCTCCGAGGGTCCCTGTGTCCCCTTGGGGTCCTCCTGCCACCCCCACGTGCCCTTGGGGTCCCCACATCCCCCCGGGGTCCCCCTGCCACCCTC